GTGATGAGATTACAGGCATGTGTCTCCATACCCAGTTTTATTTTGTATTTAAGAGAAAATGTCTCAGTCATTGAGTTGTTTAGGCTAGGCTTACATTTTTGATCCTCCTGCCTCATCCTCCCAGAGTGCTAGGATTATAGGCATGTGTCACTATACCCAACTAGGAGCTATTGTTTTTCATAGTAAGTGTTTTTTTTTTTTTCAGCTTTGTCTGATTTTTTTTAAATGTATGAACACAAAGCTGGGTGTGGTGGCTCACACCTGTAATCCCAGCACTCGGGAGGCTGAGGCAGGGGGATTATTGCAAATTTAGGACCAGCCTGGGCTACAAAGTGAGCTTGAGACCAGCCTGAACTGTGTAGTGAGACCCTGTCTCAAAAAAAAAAAAAAAAAGTCTATGAACACATTATGTTGCTATAACTATAAACTTATCCATTAAGATAGATTTTCAGCAGCCCTTCTTATGATGCAGTTTGATGCAGGTTTAATTAACAGGAAAATTTGTTCAGCGTGTGGCCAGTGACCTTGTCTGGCAAATCCATCTTCACTTGCATAGAGTAATTAACTCAGGCTCACCTTGCTGGCAGTCATGCTACAGACATTTATCATTTCCTTCTGCACTGTGGGGACAGCGCACAGCAGCTCGTGGCCGTTAAGGCTGTAGACTTATTAAAAACAGCATAGATGCGTCGATATTAAATTGAGCTTTTTAATTACTTGTGATTTAATGGCGCACCTTTGCTTGTACTTAATTTTCAGCAAATATTTGCCTTCCCAAACTGGAAGATTTACAGTTTATAACTTGCCATGTCAAGTGAAACATTTTCTCTTCCCTCTGCCTGCAGAAGGATCTCTGTTCAAAATTGTCTTTTAAAATAAATGACACATTGTCCTTTCTGGGGAACATTCACCATTTTCATCCTGTGATTTGGAACTCCCCACTTCACTCCTCACAGCCTGGTCTGTACTTACTGATATATTCATCCTGGATACATTGTATGTTTTTATTCTGCCAGCTGAGTCATGGAGGGGTAGATGCATGGATGGTGGCTGGAGATGGGTAGATGGGTAGATGGGTAGATGGGTAGATGGCTGGCAGAACACATGTGTGAAGGATGTGCAGCTGTGGGATAGAATGTAGTGCAAGCTTTATTCTCAAGCTTCCCAGCCCACCCACTAGACCTTTAACAGTCAGCTTTGCAAATAGAGACTGAATAACAATCATTCTACTACACCCAAAAACTTACTGATGAAGGTAGAATCACTAAGATGTTCCATCAGAAAGTCCTAAAATAAACTCAAGGTGCTTTTTTGTTTTTGTTTTTTTGGTACTAAGAATTGAATTTAGGACCTTGCACTTGCCAGGCAGGTGCTGTGCTGCTGAGCTATACCCTCAGCCCCTCTCAGGATGCTTTTATGCTGTAGCACTCATCAGGTGTGGGCTTGGAGTTGAAGACGGGCTTCTAAGCCAGGGCACAGAGGTCTTCTGTCACTGTGGTGGCAGATATGCCACCCCTCACTGTTGCAAAACATGTAAACACTTTGTAGACCAAAAGTAAGATGGTCCAGTCAGTTATTGTTTTTGAGTTTTTAAGGTGAGAAACTAGTGGTGTCATCAGGAACTATGAGAATAGTAAAATTAGAATTCTCTGTTTATAAGCACAGGAGTTTGTGTGTCAGGCCTGGAGACCTCCTACCCCTGAGCTTGCCTCTGTGCTACATTATTATTCTCGTTTGTGGTGTAGTAGTCTCTGGGGCCATGCATCTTGAACTTGATACCAGCTCTACCACTTACTGTTTGGGACAAGTTTCTTAGTCTCTGTTCATCATCTGTGGATCTGTGAGCCCCTTCAGTACCTGTTCCAGTTCCTTTCTAGCTTGGCTTCTTGTTTTACAGAGGTTGCAAATTTTTCACTTCCAGAATCCCTTGCAGCTAACATGTAAGTTAAGGTCTGGTAATCAAATGCATTCCCACAAACCTTTGCTCAACCTAGATTATATGGAAAGAGAGATGGTACAGGGAACACATGGCAGCAGAGACAGTGTGGCTGTGATACTGGCTGTGTATTAACATTTGCTGAGTTGAGCAGGTGCCTCCTGGCTAGGAAGCATTTGGGTTGTAGTAGCAACTGCACTAGTTTGGAGCAGTGTCTAAATTATTTAGGCTCCTTATAGTTACGGAGACAGCGACACCTATGTTAGTTTTGCTACACGATTTGAGGAGTAATTCCTAAAAGCTCAGCCTAGAGTCTTATTTCGGAAGCTCCTGAAACAGTGAGGTCAACTGTGTTAAACCTCTGTATCTTTCTGCTGAAAATACCTACTGTAGTTTATGCTGTTTGCAATAAAGCACCCAGAACAGCCATAGTTTTTATGAGATTTGTGTTGGTCAGCTTCCTGGTGCTATAATGAAATACAGTACCTGAGGCTGTTAACTTACAAAAAAGGGTTACTTTGCCTCCGGGTCTGGAAGTTCCAGTACAGCATGGGGTGGTCTCGTTGCTTTGGGCCTCTGGCAACAGTGGCACATCGTGGTGGGAGCGTGTGGTGCAGCAAACCATTTACACCTAGAGCAGAGAAACAGAGAGACACTGAAGACCAGGGTCTTGCCATTCCCTGCCCAGGGTTCCCAGTCACTAAAGACCCCTGGGATACGCCTGCCTAGACTGTTACCCCACACACCAAACAGACCAAGCCTTCAAAATGTGGATACTCACCCCTGCCATGGCAAGGGTTAGCACTGTCAGGCATTTAGGAGATTATCTGGCATGGGGTTTTGTTTTTTGGTTTTTAAAAATTTTTATTTATTATTTTGAAGGTAGTAAAATACAACAGAACAAGACAGAACAAAGCCAATTAAGACAATGCAGTGAAATTGGTATAAAACATCACAGCAGGTTACTAGGATAATAGTAATAAGTTCCATAATATGTCTCGTTATCTTCACAATAGTTGTCCTTTCAATCAGGTATAGCAAAATCAAACCAAACACAGAACATTATAGAACTTATCAAAACAGAATATTGAATAGATCAATACAATTAGAACAAAGTAAAACAGTGATAACAAAATTTTCAAAGAGATGGTAGAAGGAAATCCCCCATATTTGCTATATTACATACGGTCATCCTCCCAAGAGATGCTCAGACCTATGGCCCCCATATGTTAATGGGATGGAGGATGGGATGTTTGATTTTCAGCCCACACTCTGGAAGGCTCATGGCTGCTTACCTTGGAGGTGAATAGGTTGCTTTCTTTCCCGCACCCTAAGTTCCAACATGGCGCAGATCTTGGGAGACACTGGCTGCCTGGTTCTCTCCCTGGGGCACCTGCCACTCGCTCGAGCCATGGCTGCTTACCAGGGAGAGGAGTGGATTGCTTTTCTGGTTTTGTTTTTTGGCCTTGCTTTGTTTTTAATCTTGGGGCCCTTTCTGTTCTTAGTCAGTGGTACAGCTGCACACATGAATAGCATAGATATTTAGTAGTTTGGTTCATTCACTCACTATTCCTATGTCCATTCATTAAAACAAATGTTTGCTGATTGTTCTAATCCAGGCATGCTCCAAGCACCTTAGGATAGTGCTTACCAACCTAAGTGAACATCAGAACCTCCTGGGAATCCTTCTGAAAAAACTCAATTTCTGTGCCATCTCCAGGGACTGAAGATATGGAACATGTATGTGTGTGTAGATACATTTTCAGTTGGTCTAAAATTTACATACACTGTACAAATCTTATGTTACAACTTGGTAAATTTTTATATTTGTAAATACCCACATGACCACTACCCAGATCAAGATATAGAACAACAGAAATGTGCATGAATGATTGATGGTGTGCATGGGTTTGGGGGCTTGTTTTAGGATGAAAGTTTTAAATGAATTTGAATTTCTTCCCACTTAGAGGTCAAAAATTTAGTCATTCATAATAACTGGTATAATTAGGTTATTCTCTTGTTTTTTTTCTGCTTCATACTCTCTGAGCTTTTCGGTGTTATTCATTTTTATGTGCAAAGAAATGAATTTTGTATTATTATGTGTGGTGGCTAGGAATAGGAAGATGCCAAATAAGAATTTCTCAGGCCAGAGAAATCAGGGGTTGGCATGGTATCCATAGAAATGAATTTAAAGAGGGCCTTGGATAACAGAAAATTCTAAAATGTCTATAATCCAGTAAATGTCATCAATAATAACTTGGTGATACATAACTTCAGCTTCTGTCTATCTTCTGATGACAAAGTTTAGTGACTAAAAGAAGGTTTAATTCAAACTAAGCTCTGCAGCATGTTTTGAATAATCTCTTCAAAGATGGGGAATATTACAAGAGTAAAGAATAATTATTTCCCCTGTTCTCTGTTATGTTCCCTGTGTGGAGTCGGTTTCTCGTTCTGTGAGCCAATGGCTGCACACAGCAGTACAGTGCAGGCAGGAGCTGAGTTAGGAAGATACAGTTAATAATTTCTTGGAAAGCAAATGAAAGTAGTTGATTACCGAGAAAGGAAGCAAAATCTGTGAGGCATTAAGAGCATTTACTTTTTTTTTTTTTTTTTGTCTTTTTTTGAGAAGGGGTCTCACTATGCAGTCCAGGCTGGCCTTGAGCTCACTTTGTAGCCCAGGCTGGTCTCGTACTTGCAACGATCCTCCCACCTCAGCCTCCCGTGTGCTGAGATTATAGGCGTGAGCCACCACATCCGGCTCAGCATTTACATTTTTTAATAAAACCAACCTAGAACAATTTTGAAGTTGAATGACTTTACATAATTGGCTTATGGAATGCAACTTTCGGAAACAAAGTGTGGAATGGACATACACCACACTTTTAAGGTGATTAGATGATTTGGGTTCAGAGTATATCATATCAAGTACTGTTTGGAAGACAGAGGGACCACCTTGGTGAATTAAGGTGTCTCAAAGGAATAGAACACCTCACATTTTTGCTGTACCTGCAGGCAAAATCTCCACTAACTGACATGATACAGATGTCATCCAGGCTACACATCCTTAGAGAGGAATTAAGGAAGGAAAGGTTTATTCAGCTGTTTGTGGAGCTTTCAGTCCATAATCAGCTGGTTCCAAGGCAGGGTGACATGGCAGAGGGCAACAGTTCATGGTGGGGGGAAACAGCAAAAGTAACAAGAGCAAAAAAGGAGGTGGTGGGGGGAAGACTCTTTCTGTCCCTTATATTGTGTATGCAGGCCACACCTACTTGGCTGTAGCAGTCACATCCATAATCCCAGCATTGGACCAGGAATCAGTCACAAACCCTAAAAGCCTGCCCCCATGATTGAATGAGGTTTTGGGGGGACATCCAGATACAAACCATAATACCATCCATTTATGGGGAATTTGACTTATCTTTGCCTTTAAGGAATGGCAGTTGTATCTGGTGCAAAGGCAAAGATTTATTTTTGCTTATTCTGCTTTTTAAACACTGTGATTACTAAATTTGAGGATTTGAAATTTTCAGTACTTCTGGAAACTTATTTGCCTTCACCCATTTTCTAAAACACAAATAGATCCCGAACCCCTGATGGCAAGTCTGTGTTCAGTCAGCTTCGGCTGTACTTCTCTGGTGTCTTGATCTTTTTCCGGATGCATTATATGGCATGAGTTTTACATTCTGGCTGGTGCTTCCCCCTGACCCCATCCCCAGTTTCTGAGTTTTTCCCTGCTATCTGGAGTTATGTGCTCTAGAAGCGAAGACCCAAAACTTTGCTGCCTTCAAATTCAAGCATAAGTGGGAGGAGCTGAGTTCTCGTATTTTGCAGTCTCATCCGCCTTTTAAATTTAACCCTGCTGCAAATCTGACTCAGCCAGCAGTCATTCTGTGAACTCTGGACTTTTCTGCCTAATTTCAGTGTTTCTCTTGCTTCATACGCCGGCTTCATACTCCCGGAGGTCTCTGCCGGATTTAAGGGTTGCTCTCAACTTACCAAAGCCGCTATCCCCTGCAGGTTTTCTGGAGCTCCAGTCCTGTTAGTGCCACCCACGCCTGGTGCGGGTCCCCTCCGTGGGGTGCATTCTGGAGAGCTGGAGCCGGGCCTAGGCTTGTGTCGGACACCCACTTACAGAGGGGCCTGCTGTGCCTGCCCACGCGGGCATGGCGCCTGCTCCACAGTGCGCTTGCGCGAGACCTCTTGGCAGTGCTAGTCTTGGCTTGCTGCTGCGAGGCGGGGCTGGAGCTGGGGCTGGAGCTGGTGTGCTTCCTGTGACTTTCGCTCTGTCACCAGCATGGGGCAGAAGCTATGGGCATAGGTGATGTTCCTCCCAGTTACCCTTCTCCACTTCCCTTTTGATAAGCAGCTATCCCTATGCAGGAGAAACATGAAGACATTTACAGTTCATGTTTTTAAATCCCGTATTTTGCCAAGCATGGTGACACACACCCGTCATTCCAGCACACAGGAGGCTGAGGCAAGAGAATCACCATGAGCTCGAGCCCAGCCTGGGTTACATAGTGAGCCCATTCTTCTTCCCCACCCAGTCCTCTATGTTAAACGACAAACACTTTATTACTGAGCTGTGACAATTCTGCTGTGGATACTACTCTTGTTACCATAGTAATAATTACAAAATTATCTTTTACTTATTGAGCAGTTAATTAGGTCTTATGCTGATAAATTGTTTAATTTTTACAACAGTCCTATGTAGTTTGAGATATTATCCTTGTTTCGTAGACAAGGACATGAAATTCAGACATATTACACAACTTACCCAAGGTCACATAGCTCAAGTGTTTTAGGTTCCGTGTTGTGACCATCTCTTCTGTCAGGACGCAGATGCTCTGATCTCTGATCCATGAGCTTTTACAAGGCCAGAACTTAACTACACATTGTAAAGCAACTTTTAGGAAATATACACGTTTGGAATTGAGCCACCCGCCATGGGACCAGACTGATTGGGAGTTCTTTTGCAAGTCTTGCTTTTAGAACTTGCTCATAAAACATTGGGAAATTGTCTCTTTTTGGAGATAAAAAGACTTGCTTATTACCCCAAATGGATTGATGTGGAGTGAAATCTATTTTAAAACTATGCAACTAAGAAAACTACTGCACGTAGAAATGCCACACTTCCTTGTCACAGATGACACATTCTCTTGGAAACTCCTGTTGCTAATGTCAACACTGGAACTGGTTGTATTGGTGAGGATCTAGTTCTGTTCCTCTGTAATTTTTTTTTTTTTTTTTGAGACTGTCTTGCTATGTAGTTCAGGCTGACCTTAAATTTGCAATGGATCTCCTGCCTCAACCTCCTGAGTACCGGGATTATAGCTTCTCTGTAATTCTTAATGTTGCCAAATACTGTATTGATTGTCCATTTGGGCAGATTATGGGAGGCCCCCATTCCTCTTAAGGGAAATGGATCACAGTGTTGCTTTCCCAGTAAACCAGGACAGCTTCCCAGCTAAACATAAAGTATCCAGCCTTAATAAAAAAAAAATTCAGACAAAATGTGTTTAATTCATTTCGTATATCATTATAAAGAACTGTGATAAACTAAGATACCATGCCTATTACCCTAGTACTTAGCATCACTCTTAAAGTGCTTGTTCTTTTCTTACGTTAAGGTTAAAATTCCAAGCATCATCGTAGTTGGCTGCTTGCGTTTAACTTAACTCTGCTGAAGTAAACAGTCATAATCAGAAAAAAAAAAAAAAATAGCAGTGTTGCCATAGCAACCATCATCCAGCTCACTTGTTTTTCCTTTCTGCTCACAAAGGCTCCTTACGGAAATAAGCTGGAATATGAAACAAATCTACAGAAACCTCCTGTGTGAAATGAAATTGTAAAAACTGTTTGGGGAAAAACATTTTTTTAAATGATTGCTTTAAGTGTTTCAGAAAAGCTCCACTCTGAGCGGGAGGGGAATCTGTAAATCAGTCCCTGTTCTGGTTATAGCAAGTGACAGGCAGCCGAAGATCATGAAGATGACTGAGTAGAGAGCATTCCGTGTGTGTCTCCACTGCATTCCTGTCAGCCAGTGATTCTGGAGGCTTATTCCTTGTCTCAGTTTTCTTGACTGGGAAAGAAGACACATAGATCCAGGTGTTCTCCTGCCCTTGGCTCCGGCTGGTACAGAATTCTTCATTAAGTGGTGTTGACAGGCAGCACCCTCACCTTTCGGTGGCGATGAGCGGACCCTGTGAGGATTGTTTTGTTTGGGAAGATTTGCCATTAGCACAAAACAGACCTGCTTGTGTTGTCTCATCCTCATATTCTTTTCATTCTTCCTTTTAAAAGAGACTAATCTCACTGTGAGATTAATAAAAAAAAAATTGGACAAAAATATGTTCTTTTTAATTCATTTCGATGTCATTATAAAGAAGCGAGATAAACTAAGACACCGTGCCTGTAACCCAACACTTATGGAAGGCTGGGGCAGGAAGATCCCAGGTTCAAAGCCTAGCCTTGATAATTTAGCAACACAGTGGGATCATGCCTCAAAAAATGAAAGGGCTGGAGATGTAGCTCAGCACAGAGGCCCTGAGTTCAATCCCTATTCCTGGAAAAATGAAGATAAAGGGAGAAAAAAATCTGTAGAAAAATGGTAAATAATATGAATAAACATTTCACAGACTAGGAAACCCAAAGGGCCCACAAATGTGTGAGAGGCAGCTCTATCACATTAGTCCTTAGGGAAAGCAAACTCAAGTAAGAAGATACAATTTGCAGTGACTGATAATAACAGAGTTTGGCAAAGGTGGATAAACAGGAAACCCCAGACAATGATGGTGGGAGTACAATAGCTACAGCCCCTTTGGATCTAAAATTTGGTAGGATCTACTAAAATTGAGAATGTGCATTTTCTTCGATTCAGTAATCCCACTTCTGGATATATTTCCAAAGAAATATACATGCGTCCAGGAGGGGTGTCTCAGGAAGCTCATTCTGGGTTTGTTTATGATTGTGAAAAATTAGGTGCAACCTGCATGTCTACCAGCAAGGGAATGGATAGAAAATAAACATTTCTGTATTAGAATAGTATTAAGCAGCTCTGTGTATCTATCTGTCCTTCTATGTACAATGGCTTGAAGTAAACAGTTATAAAGTTGGATGCAAAAATTTGTATAAGGCAGGATGCTAACTTCATATACAGAAAGTAATGTTTTTAAAAAGCAAGATACAAACCTTTGCATATTGAAAGTAAAATTGCTTGGCTCAGTGCAGCAGCTTGCCATTAAGGAAGCAAAATTTCTGATTTGGGAGCCCACACTGAAGCCAAGCAGCCAAAACCTAGATCAGTTGGCCCAGAGGTAAATAGGAGGAAATAGGAGATGTGAGCCCCTTCATGAGTTCTGTAGAGATGTTATGTCCACTCAAAAAGTGTCTTTAGTGTGACAGACCTCCTGTCCCAAGGAGACACATGAGATATACGCTGCTAGATGGTTGGGGTCACAGCTGAGAGGCCTTAGGCCCCAAACAGAGGGGTTCTCCAACCCACAAAAATTAGGAGTTTGCTCTGGGGCCACTGTCCACTTGATCAAACTGGATCAGACGAGCTAGGAGGCAAGTAGTGAGAGACAGTCATGAGCCGAACACTGAATGGTCATGGGGAGGGGGAAATGCTCCACCCTGGAGAGGTAGGAAACCTGGCCTCTCAGGAGTCTTCCAGGTTGGAAAATGTAGCAGAGAGAGATGGGGGAAAGGAAACCAGGATCCATGGGGAAGGGGTGAGCTGGGGGAGTTAGGGGGGCATCTTCGCAGTATGTAGATTTTCCCTGGACAAGCTGCCATGCCAGCTGTACTGTGCATTGAGAGGGGGGTCCCGAAAGAAGGAAAAGTGGCCTTCACCCTTACAGACTGTAGTGGGCCATCCTCCTCCTACAGCTGCCTTTGGGTCCCCCTGGAGAGTGAGTCCAACTGGGATCCATCCACCAGTTGCACACAGAAATACACATTTTCAGTTTTAGTGGATCTAATTGCTCTCCAAAGGGATTGTAGCAATTATGCTCCCAGCCTTTCCAGTGCCTTTCTGCAACGGACTGAAAAGAAGTCCTTAACTTGTATCCTGATGGGTCCCAGCAGTGGGGGGACCTGGAGATGTTTTGTTCTGTCAGTGAAATCATCTGTGCTTTATTTACTCCATCTCAAAAGCCTGATAGTCCACCCTATTAATACTGGGTGTTTGTTAATTATCTCTCTGGTGGATTATCCCCAGGGAAGGTACAGTGGCCAAGGAATAAGGGAGGGCATGAAAAGCCTAATCCAAGCATCTGGGAGGCTCAAAGCACCAAGCGAATGAATGAGTGAATGGATGGGTCCTTAGCTCATCATTCTTATTTATCCTTTTATGCTTCATCCTGTGCTTGCCCTTTACATTTTTAAGCTTAACTAGCTACATGACTTAAAACAGCTCTTACTTTGGTGAGTGTGCTATTATTTTCTTTGATACTGCCTATTTATAAAGCTAACCAGCCAGTGTTATACCCTACTACACTCTATTACAAGATGGCTACCATGTACAAAACAGCAGTGGGCTGCTCATGGAGCCCATGGAGATGTAAAAATGGGCCAGAAGGAACCAAATTAGTATCTATGAGAAGGCAGTCAACTTTACTTCAAGGTGTAGTAGGATAAAAATTTGGAAGCAAATGTGACAATGTGATAATGAGGTTGGACATTACAGCTCTTTCTATAATTTTTAAAATATTTTAATTTCTTAAGAAAATATAAAATTTGTCAAAGTAAAAAAGTAAGGAGACAGAAGCAGACTGGGGGTCTCATTAAGCTGTCCTGACAGCTAATTTGAGGGCTGTTTACTGAGCCGGTACACTTGTTTTTCCCAGCATTCAGTTTATTTCTCAGCATGCGTCTCTTGGACCTTGTTCTTTGCACATTCTGTCTATTTGTCACTGAGATGAAAGGTGACAGCATATGCCACTTCCCTCCGGGTGATTCATTCAGTCTCATCTTTCAGATGTAAACAAGTATAGACAGAGACCAAAGCACCTACCAAAGCATCCCTTTGAAGTGTGAATTTGGATTAAATATCTTGATAGCCTCACAACCACTCTTTGTGCGTGGTCTTTGTCCTTTAAAGCACAGTGACAATCTCTAAAATGTATAAACCATGAGTAGCAGGGCTGCTGTCAGGAAGTGGGAGCTTAAGTTTATTGATTTTTTTTTTTTGCTGACTAATTTGTTATTAATAACATAGAATGAAAGGTCCAGTCTGGTGTGATCACACAGCAGGGGCAGGGGATGGACAAAACCAGAAAGAAGAATCGAGTGAGGGCCAGATGGGCAGTAAATGGCAGCATCTCTTAGGGGCAGTGACCAGAGGGTTCTTACACAGCAGGGAAACAAGAGAAAGGCTAGCTGTGAAAAGGGAGAAAAGGAAAGGAAGGCTGTGTTGGAGTATAGCAGAGCAAAGCTAAGGAGGTTTAGCAGAAAAGGAACCTGCAGACACCGTACATGTAAAGCGATGATCTGGGGTCGTTTCCAGCAGCAGCAGTCTCAGCACCTCAGGGCACAGGCTGTGAGGCGGGAACAGTCCACTGTCAGCTTGGCTGCATCTACCCCCGTCCTCCAGTGTAACCTGTGCAGATGCAGGTGCACAAGCAAGGAGTAGTGCAAGCCGCTCTACAGCGAACAGGGTGCTGTCAGCTGCGGCAGGCGTCAGCCAGGGCTGCCCCATACACTGCCCAGTCATCCTAGGGAGTGGAGCCTGCAGTGCGGAGCGCCTCGGCTGGCTGCTTATCGGAAGTTTACCTGGCTTCTCTCCCTGGCACACGGGCTCTCCAGAGCCTGCCCAGCTGCTTGTATCTTCTAAGAATTCTCGGCGCTGACCAGACTGCCGGCCTCAGGTTCTGGGACATTGTTTCTCTGTCCCTCCACCCTCTGACAGCTCCCGTTCCTCTGCCTCCTCTGTCCACAGGTGACTCATCCATGCATCCCTGGTCTTACCTGTTTGCTCGACTTTCTTAGCTTTTACCTCCTGGACTTTGGCCTGCTGTCTTTGGGCCAAACCCTATGTTTGGGTAGTAGATGTTCTGTAAATATTGATTGAGTCTGAGAGGTAGAGACAACCAGACTACTTTAGAAAGTTGGTCCTCACTTCCTTGCAGAAGAGACGTCCCCAGGGGCAACTGGCAGAGGACAACAACACTGCGCTGACCAAGTGGGTGTGGGCATTTGTGCTTCCCTAACTGTGGTGCACCAGTCTGGTGGTCTGGATCTGTTCTGAGTGTATCCTCCTAAAATAATCTAATCCCTGTTGTGAAGGATTAGCTACAAGGGTAGAAATTTAATCCACTACTGTGTTTAGTGGTGGAGCCATTAGGAAGTGATTAGGACTCCAGAAGATCATCAGGGAGGAGCCCCTTGGTTTTATAAGAACAAGGAGAGAGAGAGGGAGAGAGAGCACATCCACTCACTCGCCCATCTTTTGCTGGTAATACCATGGATCACCTCAGGATTCTACCAACAAGAAGCCTATCACCAGAGATGGGCTCTTGGGGCTTCAGAACTATGAATTAAATAAACCTCTTAGTAGTGTTACCCAACCTCAATTATTTTATTACAGTAACACAAAAACAAGCTTTTGCAGTACTACTGAAGATCTTCATCCTGGCTACCTTCTAAGTGTCACTTAATCTCCAAGTACTTCAGCATAATAAGACTTCAGGAAATATGACTGGGGCCAAAGACTTCTTAAGTCACAGTTATGAAGAATGTCTAGACCAGCCAATGTCAGATAGAAATATAGTCTGAGCCACTTACATCATTTAAATTTATTTTTAATTTCATCTGTTATGAGTGACCTGAGTAGAACATGGTATACATTTGTGCAGTCTCTACCTAGTTGAAGAAGTAAAAACATTAGCAAATACTGTTAGGCTCCAACATTTGTACTTCTCTGATTTTACTTCTTTTCACATAGCCTTCTGTAGTAGTTTTGAGTTTTGTCAACTTCAAGTATTTAATATAGGAGGACTGTTGTTAAACAAACCACAGGTTAATTTTGCATGCTTTTGAACTCAAATGGTATTAGACTATAAGAATACAAGCTTTGGTTTCATGCTATATTTTATTTAATTCTATATCTAACAGTTTCACTTAACTTCATATTAAAAATTATTGCAATTAATATTATTTTTTCTTTGAGGTTGGTGTGATTTTATGTTTATGTTTGCATTCAGACTAACCCCACCTGGGATGCTCCAGTAGCTACGTGTGGCTGCTTACTGTGACGCACAGTGTGGGAACAGGCATGGATGTTTCCACGGCGCCTTTCACCAGGCTGCATAGTTTGCTACTGTGAGGTTTTAAAATTCTTTTCTTTAAACTGTGCCAGTGTTTAGGAAATACTCTAGAACCATATGAATTTTGGGTGTAGGTAAGAATTTAGCTATTCATACTTTCACTGCTTACAAATCTCATTTCCAATTGTGTTAAATAAGTTCAATCATTTATTTATTCATTCCACAAAGGTACTGAGTGCATGGAGTTCTTAATTGGTTAAACACAAAATAAGTAGTCCTTGTATATCAGAGGTTAATTATATATTTAAAGATTAACCTTAAAAATAAAAGAGAAAAATTTAAATAAACTGAACAATTACTATGTGCTATGTACCATGTTAGGCCTCCCGGTTATAGCTGGTAACAGGAAAGATTAGAAACCTTGTGTCAGAGAAAACAGAAAAAAATGAAATATAAGCAATGAAGGGAAGATGGAGATAGCTAGATTTAGGGCAGTAAGAAAAAATGCAGCTTTTAAAAACTGCAGTAAAACATACGTAATACAGTTTACCATTTTAGCCCTTTTTTGGGATGTACTGCATTAGTGTGAAGTATGTTTTTGTTCTTGTCAGCTCATTTCTAGCACTCCGCATCCTTCACAGCTGAGACTCTGCAGCTTCCCACTTCTCTGTCCCCAGCTGTGGTGACTATCATGTGCTCTGTTTCTGTGCCTTAGTTGCCTCATATAAGTGGAAACATTCAATATTTGCCTTTTTACGAGTGGCCTATTTCACATATCATAATGTCCTCAGTATTCATCCGTGTTGTGGTATGTGTCAGAATATCTTTCCTTTTTAAGGCAGAACACTATCCCATTCTGTGCCCATTCTGTATTTTATGTATTCCTCTGACACTGGACACTGGATTTGTTCCACTTTTTTTGCTATTATAAGAATAAACAAAATTTCAAATGGTTTGGTCCTGGAAGGTGTGGTAGACTGACTTGCTGCTCACTAGTGTTCTGCGCCTCTTTGGCCGTGTGACTTCCAGCTGGTCCATCAAATGTGCGCAGAAGTGACGGAGCCTCCCAGTCACTCCCTGTCACCTTTCTCCTTTACCTCTGTTCCTTCCCTGAGTGAGACTGAGGTCGGCGCTGCTCCACTGGGTTCGGTTCTGGGTTGAGTAAGGAGGAACAGATCTGCTTGTGTGTGCTTGCAGTATGGTAGTTTTACTGGTAATAAAAGCTGATCCTTTTTGTTTCATGTCCCTGAGCTTTGGTGCTTGCTTGTTATTTAGCATAACCTAGCCCATTCTGAGTGACACTGAAAATGTTATACCTGAAAAGAAGCATAAAGTAGGAGAGGGAACTGGCAAGGTAAATGTCTTTTTTTTTAGACAGGATTTCACTATACAGTTCAGGCTGACCTTGAGCTCACTGTACAGCCCAGGCTGGCCTCAAACTCAAACTGATCCTCCTGCCTCAGCCTCCCAAGTGCTGGGGTTATAGGTTTGTGCCTACCACATCTGGCTTTTAAAATGTCAATTTTGATTGGTTTTGTGATTTGCTTTAGGGATTGGTGGAGCATGCTCATCTGTATGTCTGGGTGGGTCATGGAGGTGAGACCTTGGTTACTAAATCTGGTCCCTTTCTCTCTGGTGCTATTCCCTTGCTCTTCTGGCTGCCATGAACTATGAAACTTTTCTGTGCTATGCCCTTCCATCATGAGGTTTTTGCCTCAGATTTCCAGGTGTGAAACTATAAGCAAATCAAACCCTCCCCATTTTCAACTGTGGGTACTGACATTGTGTCTCAGCAATGGCACACCATTACAGAAAATTGGTACCACGGGTGGAGTCACTGCTGTAACTGTAGCTGACCATGTGGTTCAGAAGCTTTTGAAACTATTTTGTGGGAGGAGTTTGGAAAGATTTGAAGATACTGGCTAGAGAAGCTTAAAAATACTATAAGTCAAGTTTGATGGGAGATTCTTGTCTGAGCTCCCAATACCAAGAAGATGACAGGAATGCAGACAGTAAAGGCCAGGCTCAGAAGGTTTTAGATGGGACAAAGGCCATACTGGAAACTGGACCAGCAGCCACGTGTGTCACATTCTGGTAAAGGATTTGTTTGCATTTTGTCCATATCACAGGCCTGTGTAAGGCTGCATTTAAGGATGGTATACTAATTATTCTTGCAGAATAGTTTATTATTACTAGGCAGTATAGTGTTCAGGCTGTGACATAAGTACTATTGGCTGGTTTTAATCAGATCTACCATAAGAAATAGGAGCAAAAGACCAAGTTGAATGATTTGAAAAATTCACAGCTTGCCCAGAAAAGAAGCACCTGTAGAGTTGGGGCCTTGGAGAGTGTGGTGGCTGAAAATATCAGCATTAAGAAGAAACCAAGTATTTCACATCAGGACCATAGGAAAGATGGCTTGAAGGTTTCTCATGAATCAGCAAAACTTCACACATCAAAGGCTCAAATATGCAAAAGTATGCACCTTTCATGGGAGAAGAGTCACCTGGTGTTGGTTTCTCAGGGTTCATTTTACAGGGCTCAGCCATTCAGGCACTAAAAGGCCACTACAGTCTGGTCCAAGAAGGCCTGGCCACTGCTTCAGCGGACAGCGGACCTTGGCATCATCCAGCAATGTTGCTTTTACAGGGACACACAATGCAAGTGCTGTGGAGTCAGGGAGGTTTCAAGGAAAAGCATAAGAGTCCAGGCAGTGTGCCCGGAAGGGGACAGTATATGACACTGTGAGAGTTAAGCTGAAGCTGTCCTGGAGACCCAAGAAGCTGGAGATGCCAGGGAAATGGAGTGTCTGCCCAGGAAAGCTGCAGGCAGTAAGCAGAGCCTGGCCAAGAGGGAAATCACAGGCAGCCACAATCAGGCCATAGGGGTGAGGCTGCCCAAGTCTTCTTTGAAATTCATGTGTTGCTACAACCTCTCCCAGGTGCTAGACCTGAGCTGCAGGATTTAACCCTTGCCCTGCTGCATTTTGGTCTTGTTTTAACTGATTTCTGTCTATTCCTCCCTTTTAGAATGGGAATATTTACCCTGAGTCACTCTAACTGTTGGAAGTGTTTAGCTTTTGTTTTGATTGTGGAAGGGCTACAAGCTAAGAGTTTGCCTGGAGTCTTACAGGAGACTTTTGACATGAACTTCTCAGCAATGCTGGACCTGCTAAGACTTTAGTGACCCTTAGAGATGGGCTAAATACATTTTTTATCATGAGATGGACATGTGAGCCAAACATGGTAGCACATGTCTGAAATCCCAGCCCTCAGAAGGCTGAGGCAGGAAGATACTGCAAGTTCAAGGTTAGCCTACGATACATAGTAAATTTAAGATCAGCCTGAACTTCATAGTGAGACTTTGATTCAAAAAATGAAACAAGCGATAAGATGGATACAGCCCTTTGGAGGACTAGGAATTGAATGCAATTGTTCAGGTATAAAATTTTCCCCATAGTCTCATACTTTTGAATGCAAGGCTCCATTGGAATGGATCGGTCACTGGTGGCATGGTGTGAAAAGCTGTATTATTGCTCCTGGCTTCTCCCTTTCCACCATGATATTTTTGTCTTGATAACAGCTGACTGAGTCTTCTGAAACCGTGAGCCAAAATAAATCTCTCCTTCTTTAAATTGTAGATGACAAGTATTCGGTCCCTGAGAGGAAAAATGCACTGTGGCAGGAGCCAATCATAC